ATACGTGGGGAGATCGCAGCGGATAGTCTCATCATCCAGCCTCAACAGAAAGCAGGCACCAAGTGCAGAGTCGTGCCAGCTCACCCAGTTGGAAAGCTTGAGGAATTCCTCCACATATCCCTCCAATGTCCGACCACTTTGCCGTAGCCCACACAGCCTGTCCTCAGCCCTTGACATCATGTTTTTTGGTCCGGTCATCTGTCACGGTTGTGTCAGGAGGAGGAAGGCGAAGGAGACAGCTGTTGCAAACCAAACTCACAGTTTAATAACAAAAGGGCAGAAGGATGACGGGGAAAACACAACATGGTATAACTGTGACCGAACAACCAAAGACTGAACTGACTGGGGCTTAAATACAAGACAAACGAGGGAAATTAACTAGACACAGGTGATACAGGTTAACTAATAATTAAACAATGAGCAAAGGAACTCATGAACACAGGAACATGACCAAATAAGGAAAAACAGGAATCAAACAGGAAACACAATGAAAACTAAGATAAAACAAACTAAACATGTGACATTGCTGCTTAAACTTGCAAATTGGTGTTGTCTTACCATATTATTTTAATGTATTATCTTAATTATGAACACACTGGTTTTTAGTGCAAACAGTTTTACCATTTACTTGTTATTCTTCTCTTTATTTCCCTACAGTGGCTAATGAACCAGAAGTCTCGCACCCTCACAGAAAACGGCTTATGTCCGCGTTGAAAAATAAGGTGGTTTGCAATTATTTTCTTTTAAAAGTAGTCAACTAAAACTCAGTAGTTAGAGTATGCCACCACGCTACTCTTTTCGCTCTAATTTCTGAAATAAGTAAATAAATCTTGATTTATTTTCAGAACAGTAGGTCACAATAAAGTCGAAGGCATGGATGCTGACATTGGAGGGACAAGCTGATTTCATAACTGGTCTGGCTACCATTTTTGCCATTTCAGTTTGAAGCACAGGACCACAGCAGCCAAGCGATGATGACCCCGCTTCTTCCCCTCAAACAAGTGGTGTGTTGCAGATTCAACTTCTGTCTGTGCTGGAGAAAAGAGAGGAAGCGGTTTTTAAATGCTCTGACTGCCGGGTGTGTGTTTATACGGTGTGTGTGTGTGTGTGTGTGTGTGTGTGTGTGTGTGTGCACGCGCGTGTTGGTTCACTACTCACTGCTGTGTGTGTGCACATGGATGGGTTAAATGCAGAGCACAAATTCCAAGTATGGGACACCATACTTGGCCACACGTCACGTCCTTTCCTTTCCTTAATATCACCTTGTTCTGTCACCTTTTTGGTCTGTGCTGCAACAGCAGTGACCCACTGAAGGTGGTCACTGGGAACTGACACCTTTTTCATCCCACTTGAAAGAAACTAACAGCTTTCCTCTCTGCCTTTTTGTTTACAGGTACTTCTTGTGCATCAAACCAGAGACGGGCACAAACTCAAAGAGGAAGAGAGGACATGTCAACCAGCAAGTCTGTACACTGATCAGGAAACTCATTGACTTTGAATGGATGCCAATCTAGTTTGTAAGCAATGTTCCAACACCAGAATGGACAAACCAAACTCTGGCTTTGTGTTAAGCTAGATGTGGTCATGCAGTAAGATGATCCCTGAATATGTTTTATAGTGTGTTCAATGGAGAGAAGCATGACCGTCTGAACCTCTTTGCTGGAAAGTTTACACAGGATTTATTAAACTGCTAAATAAATGTGTAAAATTGATTGTTTTGTGTTTATTTGAATTGAACATATCGTTCCAGTGTTATAGGTTATTGATGGGTTAAAAGATTAAATTTCAAAATTACAGTATTTTATAATAAATTAACAATACATTTTAAATTAAAAGTTTTTAATTACCAATACATTTTATAGAAATTAAAAGCACATTACTGGCTACTGATTTGCATTACTATTACAGTTTACACTGTAATTCTACAGCAGAATACTGCTAATATGCAGTAATCTGATGGCATTAACTGTAACTTCACAGCTAAATACAGTAATTCTACAGGAGCATACTGCTAAATCACAGTATGGAATAACTGTGAAGTCACAGTATACAGCTGTCATTTCACAATTATTTACAGTAAAAATGATAGTCACTTACTGTGAAAGTAATGTAACTAGTTTACAGTAATTTACTGTGAATTTACGGTCAAATCTTTTACAGTGTTGGCCGTACATACATATACCATCTCTGCAAAAACATCAGCAATGTAAAAAAAAAAAACTCCTTTAGACTGGGCTTGAAATAACACATTTCCCAACCAGGACACAGCACAATGTGTTCAGCAGGTGAGCCATGCTGGCTACTGCTAACTCTCTCTACCACATGGCTTTACTTAAGGAAACCTAAAACAAAGGAAGAAAACTGCCCACACAATTCTTATTAACAGGCTCATGTCTGGCCCACACTGGGCCATCATTGGATTAATGAAGCCCAAAGCACTGGGCCTGTTTTAGGTTTGGTGTGGGCTGGCCCTAGCCCACTGTGCCTGCAAAAAGCCAGCATGGGCCCCACAAGGACATGTTTGCAGGGTAGTGACTATTTATTTGATTGCCATGCTGCCTCCTTTATGCTGTCCATTTCCTATTTCCTGTCATATGATCAGTCACATGACAGGCAGACCCAGAGTTACTTAAAGACAGACACTATAGGTCTTCAACCCTGATCCTGGGGACCCACTGTGCTGCAGAGTTCAAACACACCTGAACCAGCTAATCAAGCTCTTCAGGATCATGTGTGAAGTCACAGGCCAGGTGTGCTGAAGCAGGTTGGAAATAAACGTTGCTGGACAGTGGGTGCCCAGGAGCAGGGTTGAAGACCTATGATACACACATTTAAATAGTTAAGAGGAATAAAATGACTAAGACAATATGTAAACCTATTAAAACTCAAATTTACATAAAATCTTTATAATATATTGAGCAGGTTAAAACACGTGTCTTATGTGACAGTGTCACAATACAATGTGTAGCACTCAAATTCTACAGTATGTAATATGTAATACTCTATTACACACACAAAATGTTACATAAAGTTGGTCTGAAGCATTTTTGCGTTGTGTGGAGTAGATGGACAAAGAGGCTGGCCAATAGAAAACTATGAGTCGAGTCTCGAAATGACAAGAGCTTAGATGAGGAGCTGCGATGTGTATTTAGACAGGATTGTCTGATGTTATACAGCAAGAACCTGCATAGGGTAGTAAACAGTTACAAGTGTGCTATATAAGATCAAGTGTTAAATGTTAAATTCTTCCACTCTTGACTGCAGCGTAAGGTAAGGCAGTTACTTGCTCTGGGAAAGATCCTTCTTCATGACTGGTTGGTTCATGATTGGTTTGATTACCAAACTTGAACATTAGTGTTCCACTGAATTTGTTACGATTCAACAGCTTTTGTAAGTGTAATATAGTCCTTCGTCACAGACATACACGGCACAGATGGCAAGTTCTTCACTTATACAGTTTTTACTTTAATATGTTTGCAATTTACATTTCAACACAACTGTTCTCGAATTTCACGACTGCTGTTGGGTCACTGAAAGTAAACGGCATATGTGACTGCATTATTTTATGAGAGCTCACATCCTAGCTAAGCTCTGGTGCAACCAAATTAAGTACAGTTACTTCTTGTTCCGATTTAAGTGAGATCTTACCCATGTCAGTGCACAAGATGTGGGAAAAATATAAACACTGTGAATAAAATGTAAATGTGGATCGCTGATGAAGCTGTATTTACATGGCTGGAAAAGGTGTCACAAATATGGCCATAGTGTGAACTGTCTTGCCTTTCAATGGATTTGATGTCAGCCTGGTGCCAGATGCTGTTAAAGCGGCCCAGAGTCATAAAACTGTGCCGTGCCCCAGATCCCAGAGCACCCGGTCATGGCAGGACCACACATCAATGAACTCCCAAACAAAGCCTCCATTTAAATGACAAGATAAAATATAATGAATTCACTGAACATCACTAAGCTACAGTTCAGAAATCTATTGTGTAATCGAGATCGACAGTCTGTGTGAGGAAGACTTAAGCCCCGTGCGGACGGGATTAGTTTTCTCAACACATAGTGACTGCTATTGTGGACATCTGTAAGGTTTATCATCAGTTCATACCGCCAGGACTCTCCAATCCTGAGCCTATAGACCGTCCTGCAGAGTTCAGCTCCAACCCCGTCAAACGCACCGGAGCCAGATCATGCAGGTGTTCAGGGCACTACTGAATACAGACATTGATCTAAAGATGGGTTGGAACTGAAGTCTGCAGGAGACAGTCAGTAGAAATCACTCAGATGGGTGTGTGTCCTGCGTTTAGACTGCTGTAAAACACACACCTCTGCTGTCCTTGAACTCTCTGTGTGGAAGACCCAAACATTGTAGAGACCCCAAACTTGGCAGAATGGCTCCAAACTCCCCCACCAGTGATGTAGTTATTTTTTAATTAAGTACTTAATCAGTTTATTTATTTTGTGAAAATTAGCCACCAGGTAGCATTATAAGCTAACTTCATTTTCACCACCGACTCCAGAAACATTAAAACTACAATACAAAAAAATCCTCTGAAAGTGTCCATGAATCAAATGGCCATATGCAGTTGTTTCCACAAAAAAAACACTACAAAAATAAAAATCCAACTTGTGCTAGACTGTTTGTTTGATTGGCATGACTTTTTGTGCGTATCATTAAAAAGTTATGTTTTGTTTGATTAGTTTCATTAGTAGATACAATTCAGTGCATTTATTAGGCATTGGATATTATTAATATTCTCTGAATGCGAAGTCCAATCTTCATGAAAATGAGATGGACAGCATTTCTTACATTCCACCAGCAGAAGATGCATTAATTACATCTGAACTCAACTGTTCAGTGGAGGACAGCTGAATTACACCACATTTCAATCATAAATCTATTGTGTTCTGCTAAATTTGGAAACTGAGGTAATATTTCTTTCATTCCTCAATGTGCTTGAACACTGATTACTGCCATATGCAGTTATACAATACAATTGTTTTTGGACGTATATAACATTTATTCGTATCAGATCAATACAGAGCAGATACAAAAAAAGAAAGAAAGAAAAATAAATTGTATCTGTGCTTAGTACAATCAGTAGTGACTGTTCATCAATAGGCACCAAATACACATTTTTTCCCAATACACATGTACACAACAAAATGGATGCTGATTTCAACAAAAATACACACTTACACACAAAAGAAACATCAATAAATCAAACTTTAAATGACAATTCTCTGCCACCTTTAGAGCTAGAGCAGTCTATTGGGTCTGAGCAATAAATTAAATTAAACCAAATCAAACAGTGGGGTAAGAAAATGTCCACGGGTCTACACAGAAATGTCACTTTCAGGAAATGTTGCACTGTTTGCAGATCTGATGCTCTCACTCTTGAAAACGACTCTGTAACAGTAGGTCTTAAAAATAATATTCTGCTTCCACTGAAGAAGCTTCAGCTTTCTGGTAAAGGTGTTGCTCTTGTGACACATAAGAATATTTGACAGTTCTATTGATTTCAGTAACTTGGCTAAGCTGTAACCAGGAATCAGCACGTGTAGATGAGAGGTAGTTTGAGGTTCATACCGTACAGGTTTAAAATAGAGAAAAAAGAAAAACAACCATCTCTTGGGAAGGAAAGAGATCGGAGCACTCTAAACTAATGCTTTCCACTGCCTTACAAAGTCAGGGACGATGTGGATCAGTCATCATGGATCAGTCATCAGCTTTGTTTTAAACCAAACTAAATAAATCATACAAACTAAAGCTGACTCTAATGACTCTACATTCAGAGCGAGTGTCAGTAACATGAACACACTTCCTTATTTCGACACTTTTGCTCGTCTGGAGACAGACACGATTCAGTAATGACATATACATTATATAGAAATATACATTTTGGATTACATGACTGTAAATTAAGCCCTTTCAGTACTACCACGTGTGCTGGTGGGTTTGTGTGGCCTGTTCCAGTGTGTGTGTGCCGAGGGAAAGACTGGGCCGATCACACCTTGGAGAGCAGGCCTGACTCTGGAGCGCTGGCTTTAATGATGTTCTGGATCTCTTTGAACTTTGGGTGCTCTTTATCGGCCACGAGCTGCAGCAGAACAGACTCGCTGGTGGTAACGATGGCTCCCGCGCGTGCCAGCCGCTGAGAGAGAGCGAGAGAGAGAGAGAGAGAGAGAGTGTGAGAGAGAGAGAGAGAGTGAGAGAGAGCGAGAGAGAGAGAGAGCGAGAGAGAGAGAGAGTGAGAGAGAGAGAGAGAGAGAGAGAGCACACACACAAGTGTTAGCTTTGCAGCCCTCACTGCCCACAGACCGTAGTGCTTGAGTGGCCAAAGACTATTTGTGGAGGATACAGTGACAAAACAAATGCAATTATCTTTTAGTTTGCGTTTCGCTCTTTGCATTTTATAGCTGTATATGTATCTGTAGGTTGTATACAGGGCTTGACATTAACCTTTTTTTTTGTGCTCAGCAGCCACTGTGGCTAGTGGTTTTACAAAATGACTAGCCACTCAGTATTTTCACTGGCCACAATTTTGTTGTTGGAAATGACATTTTATATAACTAAAGTTACTGCATACTAAAATTGATTTAAATTGATTTCAAGGTCTTTTTTTGCCTATATAAAGGGCAGTTACATTTTATTAATAATTTCACTTCATCTAATAAGACACTATAGGGCTGTTACCAATCAAATGAAATCATTATGAACAAAACCGATCTTCCCCCTGCAGAAGAAACAGAAGCGGCTGAAGTGTTTAGATGCATTTACACACACACTTTAATGAAGCATTCACACTGCAAAAGTACAACAGCATAAATAATGTTACGAGCTTGCGGTTTTAAATCAGTTTTTTAATATACAAATATGAAATGTTGGGGAGAAAAATGCAAGGATAAGATACTTTTAAATATGAAAGTAAACCGCCAGTAGATCTTAATCAGTGAGTCATTGAGTCATTCATTCAAATGATTCGTTCAGACGGCTGATTCATTTAAGAATGAAGTGAGTGCCTGTCTTTATGAATCACTGAATCATTGACTCAAATGATTCATTCAGAAACGCTGAATCATTCAGTAAGGAAACAGCGCTGTGTGTCGCGCAGAGATGCGCGACTGCTCTGCTGCCATCTTTGTTTGAACTATTTTTGTTAATCAAATCGAACAAAAACAGTCAACACTGACAATACTGTACTAAAATGTAAGTCACTTAATATGAACTACTTGTTTGAACTTGTATAAAATCAATGTCAAATTTTCAATCATACTGGTTTTCAAGGAAAACTGCACTTTCTTGGTTGTGTCATGTTGCTTAACTAGGCTATATCATATATTATTATATTAATAAAAAAACTACATTTTTACCACATTATGCTTCTTCTGTGTGCAGTTGTGATCATTTGTTTTGATTTCTCCACGATCCTCAACTCAGGTCAGTTGTCCGGTCGGGCAAGTAAGATTCGGTTTCACTTATCTTGGATGTACAGTAAAGCACTTTATGGCACTTGCTCTAGAAAGGTGCTCTAGAAATAAATTATGTACTACTTGCCCTTCAGACAATCCACATTAATGTCAAGCCCTGTTCCTGTTACGACCACAGAGATTTTTACAAAACCAACATATGTAATAAAGTGCATATATCGATCAAAATGCTCCTCTCTAAAGTTACTTTTTTGCTGACTAACAGGTTAATGGACATTGAATGTCCACCCTGAGGAAAATACACAAGCTGTATTAATGACGTCTTTCGGTGGATGAAATGCTGATTGAGAGATTAGACGAGTCATGATTCATTTCAGTAAGCTTGTGCTATAACTAATAGTGAAGAGGAAGAGAAGATCGAAACTGAAGCCATCCAGCGATCTGTCACGCCACATTAAAGAGCATCAAAACCACATTTATTGTTTGAATTTTGTTATAAAACTGACAGAATCTGAAAGCTAAGACTTTGATTCACATCAAAAGTAACAAAGCACAAGGCTCATTGTGATTACTGGATGGCATCGTGTTTAGTGTAGTTTTGTTCACGCATAAACTGAAAACAGCAGACTAAGAGACCTTGGCTCATCAAAATAAAGATCACAGTCAAAACACGCCATCGCAGAAAGATTACACATCTGTTCACAGACTTTGGTGCATCACTGGAAAACAGATATTTACAAAACATAAAAGAAAGCGCTCAAATGGAACCCGACTTGTGAGCGTTCAGAGATTAATAAATGACCTTTCTTCTCATTTTGTTCAGATTTTTTAGCGGTGTCTATTGATTACACAGCAGCAGATGATGTCAAGTCAAGTCAAGTCTGCTTTATTGTCAATTCTTCCACATGTACAGCACATACACACAGAGAATTGAAATTACGTTACTCTCAGACCCTTGGTGCATACAGATAACACTAACAGTAGAACCTAAATACAGACATACAGATTAAATATAAAATACAACTATACAAATAAGGTCAAATGTAAAAAAAATATTTAAAAAAATATATATAAAGCAGCACAAGGCGCATGGCAGATAGAGTGCAAACCAGTGAAGTAGACAACAGTGCAGATATAATGATTTGTAGTGCAAAAGAGCTTATTAAGACTGATTAAAGTGACAGTGTGTGTGTGTGTATTTGGGAGGGGGGAGTGGGAGAGTCCATCAGAGGGTCAGAGTTCAGTGGGGCAAAAGAGGGGAGGGGGGGCAAGGTCGGGAGGGAGTTCAGCTTCCTGACAGCCTGATGGATGAAGCTGTCCTTCAGTCTGCTGGTCCTGGCCTGGAGACTCCGCAGTCTCCTCCCTGATGGCAGCAGACTGAAGAAGCTGTGTGTCGGGTGGGTGGGATCACCTGCAATGCAGAGGGCTTTGCGGGTGAGACGGGTGTTGTAGATGTCCTGAAGGGAGGGGAGAGAGGCACCAACGATCTTCTCAGCTGCTCTCACTATGCGTTGAAGTGTCTTGCGGCAGGACGCGTTGCAGGCGCCATACCACACAGTGATGCAGCTGGTCAGGATGCTCTCGATGGTGCCTCTGTAGAAGGTGCACATGATGGGGGCCGGGGCTCTGGCTCTTCTCAAATTGCGGAGGAAGTAGAAACGCTGCTGTGCTTTTTTGGCCAGTGCTGCGGTGTTGTTAGTCCAGGAGAGATCCTCTGTGATGTGCACACCCAGGAACTTGGTGCTGCTCACCCCACACACACACACACACACACACACACACAGCACTGAACCGAAGGCAAAGCCAGACGGCTGCTATGCGTCTCTACCCTGACAGCACACATCCATCACAGAGGAGTCTGTTTGACGTCTGCATTACATCTGCAAGACGTATTTTTTAGAGCAGGATTCCTCAATAGGCGGCCCGCGGGCCACATCTGGCCATGAGAGAAAAAAGTTTGGCCCGTGCTAATTTAAAATGTGAGTGAGTGTGTGAGAGTGTGTGTGAGAGAGAGTGAGGGAGTGTGTGAGTGAGTGAGTGAGTGAGTGTGTGAGTGTGTGTGTGTGTGTGAGAGAGTGAGTGAGTGAGTGACATCTTTGTTATGGAGTACACGTGTTGGTTCGCAGTGAGTTCACAGTGTTAATGTACAAGTTTGCTTTAATTTATTTTCAACATCTGAGGTAAAATATCTGTTGTTGCTTTCACTATGGCTATAAAGATCACGCAAAATAATATTCAAACTCACATTAGACACTTTTAACATTGAATAAAGCACATAATCATTACCTGAGATTATCACTGTCATATTTTGTATGTTGTTCCTGCCGCGACGTTGCAGAAAATAAAAAACATTTCTAAAATAGAATCCCGTGTAGCTTATCGTCACGTGTTGCTGTCACGGGAGGTTAGGACACAAACTACACGGAAAAGATATTTGTTATCGCGTCGTGGCTGGTAATAATAACACTGTAAGGTCTTGTATAGACAGGTGTGTGGCTTTCCTAATCAAGTTCAATCAGTATAATCAAACACAGCTGGACTCGAATGAAGGTGTAGAACCATCTCAAGGCTGATCAGAAGAAATGGACAGCCCCTGAGTTAAATATATGAGTGTCACAGCAAAGGGTCTGAATACTTAGGACCATGTGATATTTCAGTTTTTCTTTTTTAATAAATCTGCAAAAATGTCAACAATTCTGTGTTTTTCTGTCAATATGGGGTGCTGTGTGTACATTAATGAGGAAAAAAAATTAACTTATATGATTTTAGCAAATGGCTGCAATATAACAAAGAGTGAAAAATTTAAGGGGGTCTGAATACTTTCCGTACCCACTGAATATAGGTCAGTGGCCCTTGGCTTGGCATTGTTGTCAGAATTCGGCGAAAACTAATTGAGGAACCCTGTTTTAGGGTGTTTGCACATCTGCTATACGTCTATAGGACGATTCCTATCAGATGTCAAATAAACGTGTAAAAGATGTCTTTAAGATGTGTATGATTTAGAATGCTATCAGATGTTTGTACACAGCAGATGAAGCGATCTATAACAGACCTCCTGCAGACGTGCGTGTGCTATCTGTGTATGACCTGCAGCAACTCCAGCACATCAGGAATAATATCCAAACATACTTAATCAGAAAGATCAGCAATATTACCAGCCTCTGGCCCACACTGATGATGTCCCCGAAGTACTTGATGGCAGGTCTGAACCTCTCCTGCATGTCGCAGCAGAAGAAGACCGTGCTGGCCGGCGAGAGGTTTCCCAGCGTCGTGATCTGTGGTAAAGAAACCGGACAAGACACAGCTTAATAAATCCCTGCGCTCTCATGAGCCGTCCGAGGTCCATCAGCACTGAAACGCTTCATAAACCTTTATGCTGTAGAAAGCAATGAGATCAGTAACACGTCTAAAGCCTTCTACACACTGCACAATTTTAGCAATCGTATAAGATCACTGCAGATCACACTGTGTGGCATGGGTCTGGTAAACTCGGGTACGACACGCATGCACTCTGTACGATGATGACACCTGGTGACTCGATGCACGTTACTATACTGCCGTGCAAACGCAAAAGACCGTAACTTCGTTTTTTTGTCGAAAATTAGTTATTGACATTTTTGGGACATTCAAGACATCCTTTATCATGTGCATAAGTACCTTGAGTCAATTGCGTTGTTTTTCAGAGAAAATAATGTGTCGTCTCAACCGTAACTTCAAAAAGCCCCAGAGAAACCAATGCAGAACACTGTAGAACACCAGTTACGGCTCTTTCACTTTGTTTGGAGCACTCAAAGTGAGTTTTACAGTGTTCTGCCTTTGTTTTTTACTGTCCATTAAAGTCTGCCGCATTTTAATTACGGTGTAGACAAACTAATTAGATAGGCTAGATCACGATCTACCAAACAGCTGTAAAGACTAGATACCTTGGCAGCAATACGTAATCGAGAATAACCGTTAAAGATTTTTCTTTTCTTTTTGTAATGCAGATTATTCACCAGGCTGTCACTTTAGCTGGACGCGTGTGGCCTCGAATGCCATAGCTAGCATGATCAATCATAAACTCAGTAGCCTACTAACAGGTCGCAATTAAATCCATATCCTATCTTTTCTTGTAACCCGATAAAATCAATCCATGGCGATGAACGTCATCGGAGATGTTAAATCCACAAGTCGTTATTTAAGTTTAGGCTAGTGATGGGCAAACTTGGCCCTTCCAGGCCACTTTCCTGCAGAGATTTGATCCAACCCTGATACGACTCACCTGCCTGTAGCCTTCTAGTAGTCTTGAAGACAATGATTAGCTGGTTCAGGTGTGTTTGATTAGGGTTGGAGCTAGGGCTGAAGCGGTGAGGGAATTTCCCTTGCGGTAATTTTGAGTAGCTCAATAGCGCGGTATGCGGTATTATCGCCATACATATACATATATATATATATATATATATATATATATATAATTAGTGTGTGTATGTGTTACGATATAACTAACGAGGTCATATTCAGAAGACAATGAAACCGAAACCAAACAGCGTTGAAACAGAAGTGAAGTAAACAGAAGAGAATGACAAAATAATGGTCCACTTAACAGAACATAAACCTGACAATAAGATCGTTAGCCTATATGTATAGCAGTTAGCCTAGTTGTAATCTGATCTTCTAATCTGACTAGACAAGAGACTTTCTATTGATATTTCCACCTGCACGCGTTCTAAACGGGCTGTCAGTCAGTGCAGTTACAGTGTTGCGCCACAAGGTGGAGGAAAGGGACTGTCATTCAACTACATGCTCAGAAATGACAACCTATTTTCACAAATATATATGACTCGGCCTGGAGGACAGACGCAAGTAATCGCACAATCTCTCTCTCATTCACTGTCTGTTTAGGCTTGTTAAGTGCAAATCTACGGAGCCTCTGTACAAATCAGCATGGTACATATTATGTTATCATTACTAACTTGTTTAATATTCAGTCCACATGCATGAAGTGTAAATCGAGAAGGGCATAACCTTCCGAAAAAATAAAACACGCAAAAATCGCGGTTGCTGCGGTTCTTGCATTCCTCTGCGGTTTGCTCGTCAATAGTGCGGTATTGCGATATTGTGGTTATCACGACAGCCCTAGTTGGAGATAACCTCTGAAGGAAAGTGGCCTGGAAGGGCCAAGTTTGCCCACCCCTGGTTTAGGCTATTAATACAAGTCAATATAAAAGCAATATGCTATCTCTAGCATTCTTTTACGTTAATGAGCATAGCAAATAAATTGGTATCCACTCGCATGTTTAACTTTTAGTCTGCTTGTTACGGTCAAAAAATAAAAAATAAAAAGAATAGTCACATTACTATATGCGATAGTCCATGATCACTAGATTTTATACAGGTGTTACTATAACAATTTTGTAAATCGTGATCAGCAACCAGATATTGGTCATGTGGAAGTTACTGGCTGTTGCCTTGGTGTGACTTCTCACGTTTTGCAGACAATGCAAATGCAGAGTACATTAACTACATAATAGGGGTAAAAATCAAGTTTGAACTCACAATTTTTTAATGCAGATAATTATCCTTACTAAAACATCTAATTGTTAAATTTCCAGTGTCCTACCTATAATTAATTTGGCTGGACAAGTAAAAAACTTTAGTAATTTATCTCAGTTTCACAGTCTAGCGAGTTAAGATCTTCGTAGGGCAGTACAGAAGATTAAAACGTCATCAGCATGCGCTAGTGTTAAACGAAAACAGCATGATGAATCATACTTTGGCAGCTGTAGTTTTTATGTGTGCTGAAAAAAGTGGAAGCGGTGAAAGAGTAAGAGATAAGAGCTTGAAGTAAGCAGTTTAATGTTTAGCGCCGTGTCGTGTTGATTTCATGAGGCATTTTTATTGGCTGGTCAGTAAACGTGGGCCGTAGCAGCAAACACACTGTGAGATGATCATACTGAATTACTGACACCCTCAGAAAACGATCGAAGGCTGTGTCTGGTTGCAAGACCGCGACCACGGCCGTCTTTGAACCTCTCTCACTGTACGACACAGGAGCCACGATTGTTTCACGATGCCAATCCTTCGTCTGGGACAGCCCAGATCATCACACATGTCATATATCTTTAAAGCCGGCGCACACTACAGGATTTTTGGCTGGATTTTGCTGTCCCGGACAGATTTCCAGAGTCTGCGACAAAACCCCCGGATCGTGACCAAATCGGTGCTCGTTGTGGTTGCCCAGGCTCGTTAAGTATGAGCAGGTCAGCACAGCTCGAGCTATCACAGACGCTGCCATGTTTCAAACCAGTTTGATATTATCACCACGTGATCTTGTAATGTGCGCGACACAATGACAAGGTGGAGCTAATCCAGCCAATCACAGTGCAGATGGTATAAACGGAGAAAAGGCGATCAAATTAAACGTACAATGTCTTAGACAATGCTTTGGCAAGAGCATGTTTATTTGATGCATCAAGAAATGGCCTATAGTCGCTGTAATTTCTCACGAGAATTTATGTGAGAAAACGTATTTTGGCTGATGGTTGGGAGCGCCTCCTCACCGAATGTTTTATAGTGTGTGCACCTCGTCAGCGTTGTGTTGTGTACTATCTGTGCAGCAATGACAAGACGACGACAGATGAGAAGAAACCTCGCTGCGTAGTGTGAGAAACACAGCACCCATCATTCGTTTGTTGTGGGCAGAGCCTATCTGCTGGCAGAAAATTACCGTTTTAAAGTAGCAGTCTATGGAATAAAAGAATAATAAAAAGGTAATTTTGAGTTTGTATTTAAACTTTTTTCTCGTAAAATGTTATAGGTTTAAATAGTATTTCATGCTGTAACTGTAGGGCTAATACAATGTGTAGACCTATTGTTTAAACCAAATGTATGCTTTAAAAGTAGGGTAATCATAGCAGGTTTCATCCACAGTCTGTCCGTTTAAACGTCTGCGTTTAGCTTCAAATGGCGTCTTTGACGACAGTACTCTATAAAAATGATTTCCTTTCCCATTCTGACATCCAAAGGCACAACAATAAATGTTTTCTCCCATTCCATGGATTTGACTCGCTCCCAGTGTTTTTCTGCCAGCACAATGCAGCTGCCAAACTGCTCTATAATAATCTTGTAGTGTGTGCTAAGATTTGAGGTTAGACAATCTGTGAAGATTCTCCTTATGTGTGTGCTGCAGCCAGATTTGATCATCATAACTCCTGAGGCGGCGCAAGCAGGACTGGCTAAATATACTGTATGCTTTAGAAAATGCACATATTTCTCATTACTGTAATGCAAACAGCAACAACGCCATACATTTGTGCACAGTTTAATCAAATAATCTAAGAAAATCTTTGATTATAACATTTTCATTAACGTGATGCATTAGAGGTCGACCGATTAATCGGCACAGATAGTTGATTGGCAGAACTATCGGTTATCGGCAAAAATCAATGCCGATAGTTTTCCGGGTTGCGTCCGTGCTGGAGCGGCTGAGAAGGGTCCGCTGCCATTATACAGTACGAGAGTGGCCTCTAGAGGCGGAAATCACTAACAGCACGTGTTGTTTGTTTTGACACGTGACACTGCGCACTGCACAGAGCGGGAAACTTCAAACGTGCATTTAAATGCAGCCGACAGAAAATGCTGCCGCGGAACAGAGCGCCATTCACATAGTTTTCCATTAAATTACTTTATATTTGTCCCAGATCATTGTTAATGTACGTAATGACTGCACCCTAGGCTATGAATTATGTAATGTGCTCTTTCTGTGGCTCTAATACAGTCTTTATGCTTCACATAGAGAGCTGTAATACAGATCGCACTTTCCCTTTGCTTTGTTTTTTTTAAACACCGAATTTCAAACTCATTTATGCCACATTGTTCATTCTTGAAGCAAACTTATGTCTGTTTGGTGATTAAATAAACAGTTTCAGACCGCTGCTGGAATTGAACGTGACGCGTCTGGTGTGTGACTTCTCCGAGAACGCAGCGCTGCGCTTTTGTCCAGTGTGTGACTTGCATTTTTAATTTATTTTGATTAGATAATCATGCAGTGTTCTAAAATAGAAGCAAATAAAGTGTGAGATTTTAAAGTTTCTTTTAACATTAGTAAACTATGAAATAACTTTAATGATCAATATAATAATTCATATTAATATGTTTATTCATTTACAAAATATGGTTCAGTACTGCTACTGCTTTTTTAAAATAGTAAAGCGCTGTTTTAGTTTTCATTTACCATTGTAAGAACTATCGGTGGATTAATCGGTATCGGCCAGTGTGGTCCAGCCTAGCTATCGGTATCGGCCAGTGTGGTCCAGCCTAGCTATCGTATCGGCCAGTGTGGTGCAGCCTAGCTATCGGTATCGGCCAGTGTGGTCCAGCCTAGCTATCGGTATCAGCAAAATCCACAATTGGTCGGCCTCTAGTGTGCATATACTCAGGGCCAGATTTAGTGATTTGGGGGACCCAGGCAAAATACAGGAATGGGGCCCTATACAATTTCACACATTTACAACCTTGAGGTTCCTTTCACTGTTGCACGACTGTGTCCCATAGTTGTGTCCAATCTTTTAGATTTGTCATGTACATGTTATAAATAAAGGATTTCTTTAATGTTGTAAATCCCTTGTTCACATTTAAACAAGTTATAATAGTATTAGAGTAGGTTGGACACTAGGTGGTGCATTGGGGTAATTTTCACTATGCAATTGTCTAATTCTAAACTTTAAAATATATATTTATTTTAATTGCACATTTAAATTAAACTGAAGGAAATTATAAATGTACATGCTTAAGGATTATTTCAACCAAACATGAAGTGTGTCTGTGTGGAAAGTGCATGCTCCTTCTTGGGTCCTTCACAAAAACCAGTGAGTGCCATTTAAACAAATTAAAATAGGCCCTATATAATATGCACTGTTGCTTAGTATTACAATTATAGCTTCAGATGCATGATATCTGTAGGGCCCTATGAAATCCCTTTTATTTTTCCCAAATTAGCCGAAGTAACATTTTTTTCCAAAATCTTAAATTTTTCTGGATTCAGTTTTTTTTCGGTTTAATTTTTCTGGATGATTATATAATATTTGAACAAAAACCATGTCTAATTAATGTAAATCATGAAACTTGTTTAATTTAGCAGCAATTTAGGCCTATTAAAAGTTTAACAAATTACATTCTTAGGGCCCAGATTCTGCGCTTTTCATTTTAACTTCTGTATTCCATTTTAATGGTTTAATCAAAAACATATCTAATTAATTGAATTCATAAAAACAAATTAATTTATTAATTTGTATACAATAATAGTGCCCTATGAAATTGTAATTTTATTTACTTCTTTTTTAGAAATTCTGTGTTGTGTATTTTCATTTTTCTGGTAATCAAATGAAGGCGAAAACATTAATCTATCTTTTATTCCAATGAAAATTAAACAAACCCTTTCATTTGTGTACAGTCAAAATGCTCCACAGCAGAAGTTTACTGTGTAACGAGCAATGTCACGGAGTTCGTCAAATATTGAATGAACAAATCAAATGCACTGCACTACACTTCAATCGAGCCGCGGTATGGACTAGTGCATGTGAATATTAAACGGCAAAAACACTCTAGCTCCTCCAGACTGCTCGTTCATCCGCGCTACAGTACAGTACAGTACAGTACAGTACAGGCGTGTTTATGAACAGATTCCGTCCGTGTTCCGCATCGCTCTGCTTCAGCTGAGCACCGCAGCAGCCTCTGGCGCGGCCGCACTGAACGCGCTGCTCGCATATACAAAGCATTTTAGGGGGCCCTTGGCTTCTGGGGGCCCAAGGCGGTGGCCTACCTTTGCTAATGGTTAAGTCCGCCTCTGCTTATACTGCCTACAACAAGCTGTGAATGCGAGTGAAGCGTCTTCAGTGCATGTGTTTAGAGAACGCAAACTCAGTGTTTCAGTGAAGCTCAGAGAGCACGACACGAGCTTACAGGCGTCTGCAGAGGCACGAGTCTCAGCCGACACCTGCCCGACACCCTGAAGCCCCGCGGCAGGTCCGTGTACTGGCCCCAGTCCTCCGAGAAGCACTGCAGCACCAGCCTGCGCTCCGCGTCCACCTGAGGCCCGTACATGCACAGAAACTTCTGCATGAGCACCTCCGATCCAGAGCCCAGGGGCACAGCCGAGGGCCGCGCCAGCCCCGAGAAGCAGAGCAAGACCGGCACCAGCTTGCTGCTGCTCTGCGCGTCCGCCATGATGCGCTCCTGCGTGGCGTCCAGCCGCTGACGTCCGACTCGTTCAGGAGAATCGGTTCAGGAGAATCGGTTCAGGAGGAGGAGCCGAACACGCGGCGCCGCTGCAGCATCGTGTGTAAGAACAGAGAAAGCAACAACAAGAAAGACATTGATTATAAATAGACCATGACTGCATAACAGCAAAAGTAGGTGGCGATATGCACATATAACACGCCGAAAACAGAAGAGGAAGGAGAATCGGTTCAGTCTCGAAGCGATCTGAATCGAGCTGGCTGTTTGGCCTAATTGAACGAACAAAACAGACATGTTAGGCTACTTGTATACAAAGACAATATCTGCTTGTGTTTGCACCATTCGTCTTCTCGTGTCTCTGTAGTGGCAGTGTTTGAGCAAACATGTAATGTGGCAGCAGCACGTACACATCCAAACACAGTGTTGGGTCGTTCTTGAACGAATCTTTAATGTGACTCGGGAAGAACGAGTCGTCTCGGGGAGTGATTCGTTCAGGCGTCTTCTTCTTCGGTTTTATGGCGGGTAGCACCCATGTTAAGGTGCATTATCGCCACCTACTGTATTGGAGTGTGGACCAGCGTTTACCCTTTCATAACGAGAGAATAATAATAAATAAATAAATACATTTACTTCTTTACCTCAAGAAGATTTTCCCACTAAATTCTCTTAATCAGCTCTGTTCTCTGAAGATACAAAAATAAGCTTTCTAGTCCATAAGTAAATATATGTTTAAGCTTTAGGTTATCCACTCCCATCTTTCTAAGTTCATCTTCATTCGTTCATTAGTGTACTTGACAAACACAAATAACATGTTCTACTGATTCCTCCATTCCACACTGCTCACATAATCCTGCTGGATGTTTATTTATTATTGTTAAGCTTTTATTCAGCATAGTATGCCCAACTCTTAATCTTGTTAAAATATTTTCCTTTTTGGTGCTTCTTTTAGTTATTCTCACGACTTCTACTTCTCGCTGTATTTCATAAAGTTGACGTCCTGTATTTCCTGTATCCCATTTATGTTGCCACTCCTTAGTGGTATATGCTTTAATTACTGCTTTTGCTTCATATTTACTAAGTGAGATGCTCATGATATCCTCATTTTCCAAAGCCTGTTTTGCTAATCCATCAACCTTTTCATCACCCTTTATCCCCCTATGAGCTGGTATCCACATAAATATTATCATGATGTTCATATTCTTAAATCTATACAGATTTTCATATATCTCATTTACTATATCCTGTCTACTATGAGATGTGAATGATTGCAATGACTTTAATGCCGAACAT